TGTGGCTGCCTGAAAGGTCTGGGTCCCTGGGCTCTGCTGGGTCCCCGGCGGGGGTGGTCGCCCCTGGGTCGCTGAGTCCCGGGCTCGGCCGGCTAGGGGGTGGGAAGCTGCGGGCGGGCCTGTGGGCTTGCTGCCGATATCTCCCGGGACTCTGCCGGCTGCTGGTTGTGGTCCCCCGGGGCGATCCTCTGCACCTCTCGAGGGGGGCGGGGGCTTTTCTGGTCGCAGTCTCCCTGGGGTTCCTGTGCTCTGGGGCAGCTCCTGGATCTCTGGGACTTGGAGCTCCCCCCGTCTCCTGCACATCTTTAGGGGGCAGATCTGTGGCCCCTCACACTCTCTATTGGACGCTCCTATAGAGAAACCTTACATAAACAAGCGCGTGTACACACACAGGTGCTCACATGGTGCTCTTATAAGTATGGACTTGGGCACGTTGATCACAGGTCTTAAGACTATGGTGGGAACTAAATGCACTGTGTGATTTATTATCGTGTGATTGTTCAGTTAAACAATGTTGATTATACATTGCTTCATCAAGTTGACGCAGTGATAGCTTGATCTTGTTGTATTGTTGTTGTGTCCCAATTTTTGTTTGTGTTTTGTTTTTCTTTGTTTTTTTATTCTCTTTCTGCAGGTCTAGAAGCAGACTCTTGTTCATTATTGTTTATTTTTGGGGACCCCCCCCCCCCCACACACACACCTTTTGTCTCTTCCTTTCTCTTTCACCTCTGACTCTGTGTCTGGTCGGAATTAAAAAGCATCAAAAAACAACAACAATAAAGTTTTAAGTATCAGGCGTGACATTGAAAGCAGACGCTTTGATGCTCCACCTGAGAGTAAATCTGTAAGGCTTGTCACCAGCATTCAGACATCAATTCTGTTTGCTTCACAGCCAGACAGGACACGGGAAAATAAATAAATAAATAAATAAATAAATAAATAAAAAAGATTACACCCACTCTGAGTATAGATACAGATAATTTAGATGGTTGAACAGATACAGATAGTGGTGTACTTGCTCATCCCTATTTGTTGGTTTAGCATTAGCATTAGCAAGCAGAGTCAGCGATTGTGTTGCTTTTAGCCAAGCAGAGGCAAGATTTCTAAATATCAGAAAATAACACTCCAAATCCTGTCGTATTCTGAGCACTTTTCCCCCGGAGTAAGACTTACAAGGCATTCATTCATACTCTAGACCGATGCAAATGTATTGCATAAAAATATGATGAATTAAAAAATAAATTTGAGTAAATTTGACCTAACATTTAATTCCTTAACTAAAACTAAATATCATTACAGCTACATCACTGTAATTGGTTGAACTTCAAGTCCACATGACACTGCCTCCATTTTCTTGTGTTGGCATAGATTTTTTAAAGTTATTTTTCACAATCACTTGGTAATTTAAGTGGCAGAGTGACAGTTGATGTGCTGTCAATCCCCACCCACATTTCTTCGGCTCTTGGGTTGGGATTTAATTCAGTGGCCCTCTGGTTATACGGCTACTGATAAAGTGAACTGGTAATTTAATTGACGCTCAAGGCATGTTTAGTAACGAGGTTCTCATTAATGTCAAGTTGGAGTTGTGTGTTTGTGAAAAAGCCTTGTTGGAGTGTGTTTTTGTGGCACACAAACATAACTTTATTAGGCATTTTTATTTTTTCTATTGAGCACAGCACCTTGGTAATTTGAGGTTTCCACTGTATTTGCTGTTATCTAGAAGTTCTGTGGTCTGACCAGTTGGCTACTTTTACCTGTAGTACGTTCTCATCATTCTATGGTTTCTCCCCCCTGCTCCAGTGAGCTAATAGCTCCCCTGAGCTGAATCCAAGTAAAAGCTCGGAGATAAACCCAGGATGGAATCCCTGAGCCCAGTGCAACATCAAGAAAGAAATGCTGCTGTCTTATTTATTGAATGCGTGTCTGTCTACTCTAATTGCCCGACTGTTAGAAAGTATTTCTGAATCGCTTGTTGTTTTCTCTCTTTTTTGTTTTACTTTCTGGCTGATTGTGCTTGCTTTCACTAATTGAATTTTGACCTCATGGGCTGAAGGATGAAGACAAAAAACAAAAAACAAAAAAAAAACCAGAACATTAATGGCCTTCGGAGGGTTTTGATAAGAATATTTTAGGAATGCATCAGACACCCGATTGTTTTTGACTTGGGGTGATAGCTCAAAGATTGTTTTGTGCAGCGGTTCATTGTCATGCGAGACAACGCATTTTCACAGCCAAAGCGTCAATAAATGACGATGGGTGACCAAACGTTTGTTTCCAACGCGTTGAGAGGCCCAGCACGCCGGGAGGCAACGCGCTGTGCCACAGCGTTGTTTCGACTGCCGCTGTAAAATGCACAGTTAACCAACATTTAACCTCTAAGCTCTTGCTATTTAACCTTCCCCTCACCCACATCCTAACCTTTACCGTTTTTCTCATTCTAAACTTCTCATTAGCCGTGTTGGAGAGGGGTGTTAGTAACAAAGTTTGTATGCGCAAGAGGGTTAAGGTTAGGATAGGGGTGAGGAGAATGTTAAATAGGGTAAACAACACAGTTCAGTGAAATCTCCATTTTACCGCGGCAGTCAGTAAACGACGCTCTGGCACAGCGCGGCGCCTCCCGACGCGCTGGGGCACCCAACGTGTCAGAAACAAACACTTGGTCACCCATCGTCATTTTTCGATGCTTCAGGTGTGAGAATGTGTTAGGGAGAACATATCAAGGTGCTGATGTTTAAACAGCATTACAAACTTTGTTAAAGCTGGACTGGCCTTGCTAGCCCCACATCCAGACTATGACTCCATGGTCTGATAGGTGTTGTTCAACCATAGAATTGACTTCTAGTAAGCATCAGCATCCTGCTGACCCACCACAGCAGGTAATAGTGTCAAAATGTGTTTCTGGCATGTAGAAATCAACAAATAACTTTAGCAGGCAAAGAATATCAAACTTTTTCTTCATAGTATTTGGCCAAAAAGTTAGTCAATGAATGGTTAAAGCCTAGTTTATACTTCATTCACTAGAGGCACACACACATGGAGACACACAACGACATAATCCGTCAACGCAGGCTCGCAAAGGGTGATGGAGACGTGTCCAACGTTTTCTCTTTTTTACTTTGTAACTACAAAGAGCAGAAGCCTGTGATTGGTAAGCACACTGCATCATATAAATTGATCAGCGCCCCCCCCCCCCCCCCCCCCCCCCCCCCAGGTGAGGATGTACTCTGGCAGCAGACACACAGCAGCTGAAAACATTTCGAGGATGAAGTCTGACAATGAAAACTTTTATATAATGTTCACTGAAAGAGTACAAAGATATGGAGCAGAATTTTTTTGTAGAAAAAAATTGTGAAAATGTTTCTCGAATGCATGAAAAGGTGGAGGAGAATCAAGGTCAACTTTGTTCTTGTTAAAGTCTCTGAAATACATGTAAACAGAAGAAGAAGAAGAAATTTTGTATCGCACCTCTCATGATAAAAATCACGAGGCGCTTCACAAAAACAAAAAATGTAGAATGATAAATGGCCCGCGCCTCTCAGAGTAAGGACTCCAAAGCGCTTTACACTACAGTGTATCATTCATCCATTACCGCACACATTCACACACTCATTCACACACTGATGGTGATGAGCTACAATGTAGCCACAGCTGCCCTGGGGCGCACTTACACAGGCGAGGCTGCCGAGCACAGGCGCCACCGGTCTGTCCGACCTCCACCAGCAGGCAAGGTGGGTTAAGTGTCTTGCCCAAGGACACAACAGCAGAATTCTCTGTCCGAAGCCAGGATCGAACCTGCAACCTTCCGATTACTGGGCAACCCGCTCAACCTGTTGAGCTACTGCTGCCCAAAAATATAAAAAAAAATATTAGAAAATGGTTTAAAATATATTTGACATGAGCAAAAAATAGACAGTTTTGATTAAAAAATGTTAAGAAAGAGAGAGAGTGAATAGTAAAGAGGGAAATCAGTGGATCCTGAGCAAGGTGGAATAGGTGGGGAGAGCAGAATAAAGAGAGAGTGGTGAAGAAGGTCATACAAAAGCCAGCTTGAATAAGTGAGTCTTCAGCTGCTTTTTAAAGGAGACCACTGAGTCCACTGATCTCAGGCTCAGGGCGAGAGAGTTCCAGAGTCTGGGGGCCACAGCAGCAAATGATCTGTCACCTTTGGTCTTTAGCCTGGTGCTGCACAACCAGTAGGCTTTGGTCACTGGACCTCAGGGACCTGCTGGGGGTGTAGGGACTAAGAAGATCAGCAATGTAAGATGGTGCTTGTCCATGTAAGGTCCTAAAGACCAGAACCAGGATCTTTAAATGAACCCTGAAGTTGACTTGCAGCCAGTCAAGCTGGAGGAGAATATATATGGGCCATTCCCATCTGTACCGGGTCGGCCCGGGCCGGGTAGCATAGGTTGTTTACATATCTGGGTGGCCTGGTATTTTTCCGGGCCAACCAAGGCTCATTCTCAGCCCTCTTCTCGAGGGGGTCTGCTTCAGGCCGACCAGGGCCAACACACCCACTGCTGACAGCAAATTCACACCTTCCATTAGAGCAAGCCTCTGATTGGTTGGTAGAATCAGCCCACATGGGCTTAAGGCAAGGATGTGTGGTATCAACCGGGCCAGGCTGGGGCCGACTGGGGCTACCCGGCCCGGGCCGACCGGGGCTACCCGGCCCGGGCCGACCCCGTACAGATGGGAATGGCCCAATAGACTATGATGGATCAGAGACGAGACTACAATTGTAAAAAAGCAAATGGCCCGTATTTGAAATGGAGCCTTCTAGGGTTCTGCAACCCCCCCCCCCCCCCCCCCCCCCCAAGGCACTTTACAACACAAACTTCCTAGGACACAACCACTTTGACAGATGGGGCTTAAAGCTGCAGCCCCAGGGTTATGGGGCGGACTCATAACTCCTCAGCCACTATCGCATTGGTTGAAGAACCCCTCTAGAAAAGTGCTACGCCCTCTGTCCGTCTGACTTTTTCACAGATCTAGATGTCTTTTCTTGCATATCTTGATGTATGATCATTTAAAAAAATTATGCTATGATATCAAATATGCTCCAGTATGCACTGGATGATACTTAATATTGCAGTCATCCAGCACTAGAGAAAATTAGCTATTTATTATGGTATTTCTGCTGTGCTACACATTTCCTCATACAGGAGTCCACACTAATTGACTCCCACAAAGTCATTAATATGTTTCTTTTCTCTGTTCATTGGCTTGCTGTTAGCCTCCCACTTTTAATCAAACTCATCTCCACATAGCAATAAGAGTGAGGGGGTACCACATCGAGCACTTACCATCAAAATAATTGCCTGCATACATTGGTTCTGCCTCCCTGAGTTTCATATTGTTTTCTTTCAATGGTCATGAAACCTGATATGAGCAATTGCTATACTTTTGGACCCACACACACATTCAGAGCTTTTCTGAGTTGCTCAGGAGGAAAGAGCAGGAGTGCAGGGAGTAGTTAAGATAAATGATCTTCTTCTAGATTTGTGAATAAACTAATTAAGACATTTTCTCCACCCACTAAACAATCAACAGCAGGATTTAACCACCGATCTCCCTCAGGTCACTAACTGCACACCCAGCAAACGGGGAAGTGGAGTCTTTACCTCTCATAGAAGCAAAGCCAATATGAGTTTAGCATGCTTTTTTTTTAAGTATTATGTTCTTGTTTTTTTATTCATATCTTCATGAGAGAGTTCATGGGAAATACAGCTGTCCTGAACGAGGTGGCAGCAAGGGACCAATTAAACTGATGTCCAGCATGTTGCAGAATGAAAAAAATGTTTTTCCTGTGTAGAACATGTTCAAATGCAGTAAGGGCAGATGAAAAGCAAGGATGTTGGTGCTCTTTGGACTGTATGATTGACCAACCGTTATAAGCCGTTTTAACAGTTAACTGCAAACTCCGCCTTATGTGTTTGGATTTTTGATTAGTAATATTGCTGGTGGAGTTTCTCAGTCATCCAGATCATGGTGATCCAAAGGGGTTTGGATGAAGGCAACTGTACTTGTTTGGTTTCATGAGGATGTTTCGCTTCTCATCCAAGGAGCTTTGTCAATTCTGATTGGAATATGAGAGTTAAGCTTATAAGCTGTAGCGGTCTGTTGTTAAACAACAACTACACAATCGAAAGGCACAACACAGGAGAGCCACCTCTTCAGATCAAGACTCTGCAGTCCACCTACACCTGAAGGACGAGGGACACACTTTTGAAATGGCACATTATACATTCTGGCCAGAGAAGATAAATGTTTTGAGAGAGGAGTAAAGGAAGTTATCTATGTCAAATGGGTAAAACCTACATTAAATAGACCCTTTTACTGTTTGTAAACAATATGACGTCAGCGAGAATGCGCGCACAGCTTGGCAACAGAGAATGGCGTTGTTTCAGGCTTTATCAAGCTACGCTGCGGGGTTATCACCGGCAAATCTTGAATGTTATATTATTAAAGTCACTTTAACGAATGGCAACAGACTCCCGGATCCCTGTGGCATTACGGAATGGGTGGAAGATGTAGGTGCGTGGCCAGATATCCAGTGGCCCGATATATATTTACGTTTTTAGTGCAGAGGCCCAGTAAGTACACACATGAGAAGCTACGGGCATACAAATCGTTAGATGCATACAACTATGTTGTCTGTGGCCACGTACATAAAGTAAAATATCACGACATAGACTCTGAGTTTTGCGTCTTGAAGGCAGAAGTCCTTCCTAGCCAAAGACAAGGACACAAGACTGCTATGTACGAGGCTTGGGTCATAGTAAACAAACCAGAGAACTACGTACCTGCATGGCAGGGTGAGTATAGCATAGGTTTCTTTTTTTAGCGTGCTCAGAGTACAATCGTGTTAATTTTTAGAGAAATACAGTTTATACTAATATGCAGTGGGAAAATACAGATGAATTAGAATGAAATGTTAATTTGATGCATGAAATAAAGCGTATAAATTTGTTTAATTCTGTCATTTTGATGTTCCAGACTTGGGTCATGCTGCAGCCATGCAGCAGCAATTTTATTCAAAGTTGAGCTTTGTGTTAGGATGGGAAAAACAGAAAACCTCGCCTGTAAATAAATAGACTGCTTAAAAGTAAACCAGCAAACGCAACTTACTTTATTTAATAGAACACGCGTTAACCAGCTTTCTGGTGTAATCTTAGTACATAATTACCTTACCTGATATAAAATGGGCGCTACAAACTCGAGCATTTCGGATCGTGTTTTCAGTCGTTTTCATCAACCCTTTTGATGGCCTGCAGCCACAGACGCCTCCGATTTTGTTGAAATGGATGTGCTCCCTTCGGAATTCTGTAAAGTTTCAGTCCACTGCTTGAAGAGAAGCGATTCTGGCATCCATACACGCAACAACCCGACATTTTTATGTGCTCAGAACTTCAAAACAAAGGGTTTAAAATGCTGTTTTAGTATCGAGTGTGAATGAGGAAGCCTTCACTCTCGTTGCCAGGCTGCGCGCGCAACTTTTGATGACGTAGGTAGTAAAAGGGTCTATAAAGGAGGAGGACTCGGGTTTCACCTTTCCAGCACCAACAATGCAGCTCTAAACCTAATTCCCAAGCTGTTTCAATCAAGGTCATATCCTCCTGCATCTAATCAACACGACCCCCACACCATAGAGGCTAACAACTCATCAGGGTGTGGAGAGGATGGGTATTCATAAGTAGTTTCTGCTCGTGAAGCAACAACAGACAGCTACAGTTTATAAGCTTGACTCTCCCATATTCCAGTCAGAATTGACAAAACTTCCCGAATGAGTAGAGAAACGTCTTCAAGAAGCCAAAGAAATGCAGTTGTCCTCATCCGAAACCTTTTGGATTACTATAACGTTGAATTTCTAGGTTTTAGGTCAACTGCTTCACCACTATGGAATTATTTATACTTGTTTTTCTTGGATTGTTATAAGTGCAGAAAACCGGTAACCTCACAAGATATGCTCTATATGTGAATACATAGTCTGGCCATGACCCGTAGTCAGAGCTCAGTCGTGGGGCGAAATGTACAGTTCTATTTTAAACTACCTCTGCATGCTATTGGACTACAAACAACATGATGTACTCATCGCTACTGATGTCAATCAAAGGGGCCGTCCACCATACACTGTTGAAGAAGACGAAAACACATCCTTTGTCTAAAAACAGAACTTAAGTACCTCCATCTACTCATGACTCAAAGAAAAGCCCAAGTCTAAATAGTTCATAGTTGATGCCAATGCCATTTCAAACAAGCCATCGCCATCTTTGTTTTGTTGTTCAGTCGCAGTAACATCCCGCCCACCAAACTGATGGAGCGCTGTGATTGCCGAGACACACAACTGGTCTGGTCTGCTCTTCTAATGAAGCGTGGCTAGACAAATCCATTTTCTTGTGTTACGATATGTCTAGATTTCTAGGGTAGCAAACCACCGTTTGCATCGGCCGAATGTTTTGTAATAAAATGATGCATTTAAATTCAACATGCATTTCTTGGAGGAAATAACGAAAATATTGTTTTTGCTAAAATGAGAAATAATTTAACAGAACTGCATACAAGCAAAACAAAAGCCTTGCAGCAAATTAAAGACCACAGAAAGGGTTTGAAAAATATAATAATATTGGCTTTTCCACTGTGGTGTCATTCATTTTTACATAATATGGTTTTCAAATGGGACTTGATTAATTTTATTTCAAAATATTTTATCTAATTTTCAGCATCCATTTTGTTTCATAAGCATCTGAAGGATAATAACAAAGAATAATAAGTTAAAATGTAAAAACTAAAACAAAAAGGAAGCTGGGATGTCATCATTGATTCCAGGATTCTATAATGCATGTCCAAGTGCAGTTCACTTTTGTGTAGCACTAAAGTTAGATTCAAATTATTTTATATTGATTTCTGCAAGGTCCGCATAATTTTTCAAGTAAGTAAAATATGCAATTTGTGTGGCCTTATTGTACTCCTTGTCACATGTGGCAACATATGTCTTCAATATATTTACAACAAAATATATTGTGCTTTAGCTCCAATTAGAAAGCAACCAGCCAGGATAAGTGATGGCAGTTGTTGGATGCTGTACAGTGTGTGTTTTGGTTGAGCAAGATAGAGAGGTCCTGCTGGCATTTCTGTCAAAGCAACTACTTTTCTTTGTCTGCTGGTTTGACCATTGCCCTACTTTGCCGGCAGCATCCTATTGTGAAAACAATTTTATTTTGCGACACGGCCTCCTCATAGATGAGTGATATCTCTCCTGTGGTGAGGAGCAGGATTAATTTATTTCACCAACACTATGTAGAAAGATAGCAAAAGGGAAGCTGGAGGATAGCAACCTGTGTGAGTTTACCAAGGAGCATCAGGCGTTGTGGGACGGTATTGCATTTGCCTGGTGTGTGGGGGGCTGGCTGGATGCCTCATACATGATTATGTGTCTCATCGGTTTTAGCCCTGTGTCGGTAATCTGCTTGTATGGAGATAGAGAACACACAACCTTCCTAAATAATGCAAATCTGCTGCTAGGCATGACTTTGTGTTTCTTTCCAAATATCCCTCTTTTCCATGGCTTCACGCCATCTTTATTTGCCTTTCTTTTTCTCTTTTATTCTCTTTCTGTCACAAATATAAATCAAGATTAAGTATTCTCTAAACTCCTGCATAACAATAATCTAAACCACCCTCTGTATCAAATCAATGTGTGTGTGTGTGTGCATGTGTGTGCATGCGCGTGTTTGTGCAGTAAAGGGATCAATCCTTCTATAAGCCTGATGATCACTGGTTTGATAAAGCAGTTTATGTCGTGAGGGTGTGATGCATCACCACTTGGATGAAATTTTAAATTACAAACTATTTTAGATTCTAGTTTATATCTGAGACAGATTTGTTGTTGTGATTGTAGCAGAACATAATGGATTGTGTCTCCTAAGGACTGGTGAAAAAAAACAAAAACAAATGGACATACAGATTAGGAATGATTGAGATATTATTCAGTCAAAGACATCACCCAGAAAGTTTGATACACACATTAAATGTGCCCTCTTGTTTTGTTTCTACAGAGATTCTTCAAGGAGGGGTTTATGTTGACCAGAACAAGTTCCTCTGCCATGCAGACACAATCCACTGGCAGGACATTGTCAAGGATCCAAAAGAGCATCCCGTTGTAGTGCCCACGAACAGTAGTGTCACATGTAAGTTATCCGAGATTAGCAGATTAAAAAAGAACTTGTGATTTAGTCTTAAATTTTACTTCTGGTTATTTTCTAGGATTTTGAAATCTATTTTGTATGTTTTTAAAGTGTTTAACATAACACCTTTATTGAGAACGTTATTCTGCACTTGTACAGTTGGGTCTTTGCACTGCAGTCCAATACCCTAATACATTTTTGTACTGATTTCGTATTGTGATTCAATATAACAGATATGATGGGGGGGGGGGGGGGGGGGGGGAAGAAAAACATCAATTCTAAATAATGAAATTGATCATATGCCTCTGTTATGGCCTGACCAAGGCTGCAATTAAAACACCAGATCCAGCCACCTTCAATAAGTCCAGATTATCCTGGACGAGCCCCCATATGTTAAGGGGTGATGGTGGCGCAGGAGTTAAGTGCTCGCCCCATATTCGGAAGGTTGCAGGTTCGAGCCAGGCTCAGTTTGTCGCTGTCATTGTGTCCTTGGGCAAGATACTTAACCCTCCACTTGCCTGCTGGTGGTCAGAGGGACCGGTGGCACCAGTGTTCGGCAGCCTCATCTCTGTCAGTGCGCCCCAGGGCAGCTGTGGTTACAACGTAGCTTATCCCCACCAGGGTGTGAATGTGTGTGTGAATGGGAGAATGACTGACTGTGTTCTATCCTTGGGGGGTTCTAGGACTCTAGAAGGCGCTATATCAAGAACAGGCTATTTACCATTTTACTAAGACCCAGCTCTTGGGATTGCAACGTCAGGACGAGGTCTGGACACATGTTGAGAGTTTTAGGAGTATTTTAATTAAATTGGTCTCTTTTACGCCTCACAAAAATGCCACACAGGCAGGAGCTCCACATAGGTGATCTCTGCCACCACCGTGATCTCTATAAGTTGCACCAAGCAGGCTTTTGTGCTTCACCCACAGGTGCAGCCATTTAGAGCATTTGCAGGCTGCTAACAGCCAGACTAATGAAAAGGCAGAAGGGCGTAGGCTGGACATTCCAAGCAGCCAATCATCTGGTTGCACTAGCACAACAGCATTTGTTCGCTAGTTGGATGAGTGCTTTGTTTCTCCCATTAGCAGGAGCCATAGCAGTCTCTTTGTAAATAATGTAATATATATATAAATATATATATATATATATACATATATATATATATATATATATGTGTGTGTATATATATATATATATATATATATATATATATATATATATATATATATATATATATATATGTGTGTGTGTGTATATATATATATTTTTTTTTCAATTTAGAGATGCTGTTGTACGACCAGCAAGCACATCTTCAAGCTACTTAAAGCTGGGGTCCATAGCAAGATATCATCAAGGAGATGAGGAGGATATTTGACGCTAAAGTATATAGAGTATAGAGCAGAGTATATTTTATTCTTGCTACGTTTTTCTTTTTACTCAGTCTTTCTATACCCTCAGTACTTTGTTTTACTTGAACACAAAATAATGCTTGCTTGCAATGATTTAGGTATGCATTGTCTTTTAAGCCCAACATAGTTTTTTGTTTATTTTACTCATTTTATCCTTTAAAAGTGTACAACTAGGATTTAAAGTGACAGTGTGTATTTTCCCTGGCAATAGGGGTCAGTACATACCTAAAATCATTGCAAGCAAGCATTATTTTTGTTTTCAAGTAAGCCCTTACTAACAGATGGCCATTAGGCTCAAAGTCCCTTGGGAGTGCAACCTCCTGCAAAATAACAAGAACATCAGATTCCCTTTCATCACTTGCAACGAGTGAAGAGGTAAATGTGTAAAAGAACATTTATTAATGCTGAAGGTTTTGTAACCATTTGTTACAAATCAGTAAATGCATTCTGTCCTCACGGGCTTCCATAGAAGGAAACATGGCATCCAATATGGCATCGCCCAGAAACCCAGACCCGCTCCCATGTATTTTAGACCAGATTTTTATGGTTACATGTTATGAAACTGCCAATATTTTTCAACAAGCTGGTATCTTTTAATTAATTTACGACAATATTTCAATGGATATCACCAGAGATTATTGGTAAAAACTGCACACTATCACTTTAAGGATGCAAACAAACTTATGGACTTATTAGCTAAATGCCACTGACTGAAATCAGGGTGAGTCTTACTCAGAGCCTTTGCAAATGTGTTTCGTGTGGCTGCAGGCTGAGGCCCTGCGGAGATGCCGGATCTTAGTCTCTTCTATTCACGGCTGATAAGTGGCTGCATGAGAGCAGTCATCAAAACATCAACCCTTGACCCGATCGTGATGTTCTGCTTACCATAACAATTATCGTATACTGCTTTCGCAAATCACTTTCATGCCCCACTGTTGCCAGTTGTACATGTTGAGTTATGATGAGATTTATTAGAGTAAAAATAAAAATATTTTAATGTGTTTGGGGGTAGGGGTGTTTAATGCAGTTGTGAGAGAAGTAAGAATAAATGTATTCACCTCCTCTAACGCTTTTCTGTTTATTCACTGACTAAATATTTAAAAGCTCGTCTTTCTCATTCTATTATTTCAGAGCTCAAATGGTTTGACATTTTTTTTCTCATCATCTTCAAATCCTATAATAAAATGCATTATCATAAAATAAAATAAAGACAGTAAACATATGTCCTTGGACGTCTTCTCACAGCACTTGCTTGAGGCATCATGATGCATATTAACTAGTCTTGGCATTGATATTCTGCTCAATCACCCTCCTCCTTGCAGCCCTGTTAGCCTTCGATCGACCCCGACTCCTGTGCCGAGTCGTATCTCCCACCCAAAAGATCAAGGGTCCCCAAATTTATAATCAACAACTGACAGCGTAATCTACATATCATTCTTTGGGGTAACACAAGTCTTGTAGTATTATTGTTTTTGCCGTTTTGGGGCCATTGTGTTATGTGGGTGGATTTCTTTGCAAAACAGCCCTAAGTTTCTAATCTCTGCATTGGTAAAAGATAGATCTAAGTGAAGCAGAGGCAGTGCACACTTACCACCGGTTGACTTTTTAAATTACAGTTTCTTTAATTCATAAACAAATTTTGTTTAAAGGCATGGAACAATGAAAACCCTGTTTTTAAATCTCATTTCTAATCATAATCGGTCACTGAGTTTTTCATGCAGGCTGAACATGAAAATAATGTTCTACAGCTATCTCCTACATTAGCTTCTGATAGGAAATAAACAGTAAAACACTTGGATTTGAAAAGTCTGGCAGATCTACGTCACACTGATGTATACTATTCACGAATTCACTCATCTGGACTCACGACAGGGAAGGCTGTTGTTTTAGTGTCCAGGAAACCGCAGAGACTGCCTGCAACTCCACCACTCAGCAGAAGCTCCTCCAGGCTTTGGGGAGGTAAAACATCAGTGTTGCAAAGCAAACAGAGTCAACGGTAGAGTTGCGTTGTTGTTGGCCAATCAGAGGTGAGCTATCCAAATATGAGGAAATAAGAGACCAAAACCTGTCATCTGAAGCTACCTTTTCTTGATTCAGGCACATCTGAGCACCCCGTTATTCCCACCCCTGAGTACGACTTACAAGGCATTCATTCCTACTAGAGACAACTGCAAGTTTATTAATTAAAAACATGTTAACACCTTTAAAGTAGCGTTCATGCACTCAAACATAAAATGGATAGAAACCAAAGTAGAGAATGGAAAACAATGAGGAACAAACCGAATGATTGCATTCATGTTTTTAGTAGAGACTCTCACTTGAGAACCAAGAAGAGGGAAAAACCTATTGAGAAGCTTGAATTGGTTAAATGAGTTATTTCAACACTTAATATTCTCAGTTGGAAAGGCTGCAGGACAAAGGACAGCAGTTTTGTAATTATTCACTTTATACATTTGGTTAATTGTTAGAACTTCAATTAGAAGTGACTGAAAACAGAACAGAAAATACTGCTAACCCCCTCCCTACAACTTTAGAGCTTTTTCTATACTTATGAGTGAATATCACTAGTTTTTCTTCACAGTTTAACTTTTTAAAGTTTTGTAATGCATGCAAGTGTTTTATGATTGGTCTCATTGTTCAGATGACATGGTCACAGAACTGTAAAGCATCCACCCATCCGTTTTCAGACGCTTATCTGAAGTCAAGTCGCGGGAACAGCAGCCTAAGCCAAGAGGCCTAGACTTCCCTCTCTCCAGCCACATGGGCCAGCTCCTCCAGGGGAATCCTAAGACGTTCACTGGCCAGCTGAGAAACGTAGTCCCTCCAGAGTGTCCTGGGTCTTCCTTTGGGTCTCCTCCTGGTTGGGCATGCCTGGAAAACCTCACTAGGGAGGCGTCAGTAAGGCATCTTAATCAGATGCAAGAGCCACCTCAACTTTCTCTTCTCGATGAGAAGGAGCAGTGGATTTACTCTGAGCCCCTCTTGGATTACCGGGCTTGTCACCCTATCTAAGGGAGAGCCCGGACACCGTGATGAGAAAACTCATTTTGGCCGCTTGTATCTCATTCTTTTGGGTACTACCCAAAGCTCATCACCATAGATAAGGGTAGGAATGTAGCTCGACCATTAAATCGAGAGATTTGCCTTCTGGCTCAGCTCTTTCTTCACCATGACAGACCAGTACAATGCCCGAATCATATCTGAACTGTAAAGCATTTAAGCTATTTAATGGACTACATTTTGCAGCGTTTTTCTAGCCTTTTTGGCCCCCCCAAAGTCTTACACATAATGAGTGATAATTATTAGCTCACACACATTCATATCCCTGACTTTCAGAACAGGGGGAAGCTGCTTGGGGCTCAATGTAACATAAAGACACTTAAACATGGGGTGGGGAACCACCAACCTTCCAGCTGGAAGGTGACCACTCTTCCCACTGTGCCACAGCTAATCCCATATCTGCTGTTGATTGATCTACTTTTAACTTTGCAATAAATGAATCACTAGTGGAATTTTTATGGATCTACTTTTAATATTCAAACTTCACACTAAAAAGATGGCACGTGCAAAATGTCAAAACACTGTTTTTCATTAAAATAGCGTGGCACCAATTGCTTGGTGCCTGTTTTTATTGTACAAAAAATTTAATTGCGTTGTTTATCCCATGCTCACAGAATACTAATCTTGCTGTCTTTTTAAAGCACTGAAACACTTTTTGATTGAATCATTATATGTTTAAAGTAGGGATGCACCGATAACAATACTGGTATCAGGCCGATACCTGGTAAAACTTAACCAATACCAGGAACCAATACCATTGCAGTTGCCTGAAAGTGGCTTCACTGTAACTTGTCATTTCTGTTCACCTAATATTTTAGTTTAGTGATTATTTCTATTAATATATTTTATTTTTTATCTACCTCACAGTATTTTCCTGTTGAAGCAGAGAAGAAAATCAAACCTGTATTCCAATTCAATGCATTTGTTTGTGTTGTAGAAGTATCGGTATCGACGAGCACCCAGATTCAAGTATCGGTATCGTATCGGTTTAGAAGCAAGTGGTATCGGTGCATCCCTAGATAATAGGTTAATTGTTAATTGTTTCATTCTCTTTTTCCTCCATTTGGTTTAACTCAGCCATCATTAGAGCCCTGGATGAGAAAGTCAGAACTTGTGGGTTCTGGACTTTTTAAAGTTAAACCAATGGTTTTGGACTAAACTGGCAATGTTTAATTAATTTTTTTGGGAATTTGCAGGTCAAAAGTGCCATCGTTCCTGTAACGGCCGTTGTTGGGGTCCCAAGGCAGATCAGTGTCAAAGTTGTAAGTATTTTGTTTATATATATATATATATATATATATATATATATATATACATATATATATATACATATATATATATATATCCATCCATCCGTCTATCCATTTTCATCCGCTTATCCGGAGTCTGGTCGCAGGGGCAGTAGCCTAAGTCGAGAGGCCCAGACTTCCCTCTCCCCAGCTCCTTGGGCCAGCTCCTCCAGGGGAATCCCAAGAAGTTCCCTGGCCAGGTGAGGGACATAGTCCCTCCACCATGTCCTGGGTCTACCTTTAGGTCTCCTCCCGGTTGGACGTGCCTGGAAAACCTCACCAGGGAGGTGTCCAGGAGGCATCCTGACCAGATGCCCGAGCTACCTCAACTGGCTCCTCTCGATGTGGAGGAGCAGCGGGTCTACTCCGAGCCCCTCCCAAATGACCAAGCTTCTCACCCTATCTCTAAGGGAGAGCCCAGGCACTCTTTGGAGAAAACTCATTTCGGCCGCTTGTATTTGCAATCTCGTTCTTTCGGTCACTACCCAAAGCTCCTGACCATAGGTGAGGGTAGGAACGTAGATCGACCGGTAAATCGAGAGCTTCTCCTTCTGACTCAGCTCTCTCTTCACCACGACAGACCGGTACAACGCCCGCATCACTGCAGATGCAGCACCAATCCGCCTATCGATCTCATGCTCCAGTTTTCCCTCACTCGTGAACAAGACCTCGAGATACTTAAACTCCTCCACTTGGGGCAGGACCTCATCCCTGACCCGGAGAAGGCATTCTACCCTTTTCCGAATCAAGGGTGTGGTTTACTCACAAGTTTTGCTGTTTTCCAGTACACACTGGGAGTGCCTGTGATGTGGAATGAATTCCTCGCTGTGGTCCATGCTTAATTCGCAAGATCATAAAGTCCCATTACACCAAATATAGGGAAATCATGTTTGATGTCATATATGAAGTTTTCTCTCCGCTGCTGTGATTTATGGCATTAAAAACCCACTGCTGCACTTCAGCCCCCTTAGACTATAATGGGATCTAATTTGATGCAGTGCCGTTACATGCCGCTGATGCTTCCAGTGTGAAGAATGGTTTAGAGTTATTGACATTCATGATTACTGCATTCTAATTTGGGTAACAAATTCTTGTTACATAACCCGGCCATCCCACTGGGTGCATAAGCGTTGCATAATGGCCGCTAAGCATAGTACTCAGCAGTTAGGCACCGTTAGCCAATGGGTGTATTTCCGGCCCTGAGCGTAGAGTTGCGTTGCGCCGTGTAATTTACACTTCAAGTCTATTTTTTATGTGTTAGTTGGACATTGATTGGGCCAGTTCAGATCAGGTTTAACAAAGTCAAATATGGTAGCTGTGGAAACCATCTACCAACTTTCAAAATAAAAGACACATGCAGATTTCCAGTTGTTTCACTTGGGGAAAAAAATAGCATCATTACCTGTGACGCCTCCATAGTCGATGTAAATGGAACAGAAAAGAAACCACAGATTGTTTTAATACGGTACATGCTGCTGTCTTTCTCCTTGGGTGTGATCGTGTGAGCTGGGTAAAACTTTGTTTCACAATTCTCTGGTGGTTTTGTGACCTCATGGGACCAGCTGCATGATTTGAGTTTTGAAGAAGAAGAAGAAGAAGAAGAAGAAGAAGAAGAAGATGAACAAGAAGAAGAAGAACAAGAAGAAGAAGAAGAAGAAGAAGAAGAAGAAGAAGAAGAAGAAGAAGAAGAAGAAGAAGAAGAAGAAGAAGAAGAACAAGAAGAAGAACAAGAAGAAGAACAAGAAGAAGAAGAAACAGAAACATTGTTCTGTACAGCACCTCTCAAGATAAAAATCATTAGGTGTTTCACAAAAACATTTAAAAAAATTAAAACTGAAAAAGATAAATAATAGGATTTAAAAATACCATAGAAATGGGAAAAGTACAAATTGGGATTAAAAAGTGTGAGGAAAAGGAAAAAGGAAATGAAAATGAAAAAGGCAATCACTGAATCTCGGGAAGGCAGAATTGGTAGAAAGAGCTGAATGAGAAGAACGTATACGTAGTGATGAAGAATCAACCATGTAAAGCCAACCTGCTGCTTTGTAAAGGAGACCACTGAGTCCACTGATCTCAGGCTCAGGGGGAGAGAGTTCCAGAGTCTGGGGGCCACAGCAGCAAATGATCTGTCACCTTTGGTCTTCAGCCAGAGCTCGCAGGGAAAATGCATCTATTACAATAATTATGCATATGGTGGAAAGCGAGGGTAACCCTTTCCTCTATGTGAAGTTGGTTTTGAGCGAAGAGGATATGTACATTTTTTTCTCCTTTTTGGTCTTATCAGCAAAGTTATTAGCAGTTATTTTTCAAACCAGAGGTGAAAAAACCTCTAGTATTTACTCATGTAAATAGCAACTGAAAGGCAGTGGCTCCCGTGACTGATGCTGCTGTCCACAACCTGTTCAAATGGAAGCTTCCAGGCATATTTCACGAGATGGATTCCTTCTCTGTTGTCACCAGGCACTTTTTCCTTTCCTTTTTTCAAGTGAAAGTTTTAAAGCCAGTTTGATAAACAGTATTGCATCTCTCTCTGGCAAGGTCATTTGTTTGACGGAGTGTCTTTAAACAAAGTAGGCCATTTTATTTTTGCCCAGGCACCGTTAATGGAATGGTGCTGATGGCATGTTAGGCATGGGGTGAAAAGTGTGCATGCGCTCTCGTGTTTGTTTGGCGACTTGGTTTGATGCTTGCATCTGTCAACCTGATAGTATCTTGTCAAAGAAACGCTGAACAAGGAATGAAGAATCCACAAAAACAGCATCTGCCAGCATTTCCAAATGTATACGTTTTTCCACATACCACGAAGGAATAACATTTCCAATCAAATGGATTACCAGAGCTTCAATTATTAGTCTTAATGCTCATTTAAGATAAACCAGAGTTCCAAGGGGTTCTTAGAGTTTATAATGTAACACGTGTGTCACAAATGTGTAGAACAATTTCCTGACGTGCACACATAACCCTTCAAATTATGGGGTATGTCATCTGCATATAGCAGCATCTTAACCTGCACATGTTCCACCATTCAGTTTCCTTCTCTCCCATAGACTCATCCTCAGTATTGTAATTTTTCCCGCTCTATCACATTAGTTCTACAACCGACACTTAAGCTGTCTCTCTTATCAGCTGTCCTTGTCTGCAGCATGTTCAATGTGCTTTGACATATGGCTTCTTAGAAAAGAAGCACGCGTCCATATGGTTGCCCATATGACTGCAAATGACTTATGAGGAGAGGGATGGGCACCTCTCCATTATGACAGACATACACTGTTAAATAGTAAACTTTAAGTGTATATCACATCCAGGAGGAGAATATTTGGAATGCATACAGACTGGGAATGTGATGAAAAAATGCAGTTATCAGAATGGCTTGTACAGCAGTGTAGGTTTTACACTTTCTATAGAATTTTATGTAGGTTTTTGTAACACTTGGTTGTTGTTTGAGTCTTATGTGTTAACCCTTGTTTTTCTCTCCTTTTTGCCAATTTAATTTGCCTAATCCAAAGTAACTAAGACGGTGTGTGCTGAACAGTGTGACGGGCGGTGCTTTGGCTCCTATGTAAGTGACTGCTGCCATCGTGAGTGTGCAGGTGGCTGCTTTGGCCCCAAGGACACCGACTGTTTTGTAAGTGGACATGTGCAATAAGTTATTTAAAATTATGCTGGGACCAAAAGTAAAGAAAATTTTATGAAACAAGTTATTTTCCTGATTTTTGTTCTTTTTTGTGTCACTTTTGTTTTATTTGTTAACCATTATTTTGCCTTTTCTACACACATACAAATACATGTCATAAATGTTGTTTTTCTTCTATAATTGTCACTTGTTTTCAAAATACATTGAATTATACTTGTTATTCTGAATGAGATCTCACTTATGGATTTGTTCTTTGGGTCTTATCTTCTTTATATTTGTTTTATTCCATGTGAAACGCCCTTACATTTTGAGATTCTGGCATGTAAATCATAGTCTTGAATAACCATATAAAATTAAATATCATGTCAATGTATTTCTTATTCATTTTTTAAAGTTTTACAGGGCTAATAATTTAACCTTTGAACTTCCTCATCAAGAAAAAAGCAATGCAAAAATTCCTCTTTTGCATTTTTTTTTATTTGGGCATTAGTTAAATGTTATTTAATGAGATTATTTTTAATGATTTAAATAATAATTTTAATAAAAAGGTCATTTTAGAACTTTTTTAATGTAGTAGTTTTTTTCTTGTTAAATTCATTTTTTTGCTTCAAAGACCAATTAGTTGACCAGACAGGTACATGACTAGTATAAAAACATATTTGTATGTAAATTTGCAAAAGCAAATGAAAATTTTTTTTTAGAAATATCTGAACTTCATTTTGACAAATATCACCAAGAATAATTCATAAAAAGATACACGTTTTGAAACCGTATGGAAATGATAATGTACTCTTCATATTTATTTAAATTTGACAGATGTAGATTACAACAACAAAAATAGAGGATATTATAATTTGCAAGTAAACTCAACTACTAATAAATTATGTTTTACTTCATTAATGCATTTTTATTTGTTTTGCATCATCTAAGAAATAAGAAAAATAAAAAAACTAAAGTATTGGAGAAATGTATTCCCTAATGCACTGTAACTTATGTAATTGGTAGAATTTAACAAAGTCATAGTTAGTCACATTTGTCTACAAAATTGTATACCCTTTTTTGTGCTTTAGCAACACTAAATACAGAATTTACAAATTAATATTAATTAAATTATATATATGTATGTGTGTGTGTGTGTGTGTGTGTGTGTGTGTGTGTGTGTGTGTGTGTGTGTGTTTGTTTGTCTAAACTAACTAAAAATCATTTAAAATTTACAGGCTTGCACAAACTTCAATGACAGTGGGGCATGTGTCACCCAGTGCCCTCAGCAGTCTGTCTACAACCCTAACACCTTCCAAGTGGAACACAATCCCAGAGCAAAATATACCTACGGAGCTTTCTGTGTTAAGAAGTGCCCTCGTAAGTTACAACACACAAGCTTCAAGGATGTACAAAGTACTTTTTACACATTTCTGGTTTAGGACAATTCAATAATGAATACTTTCAAAGTTTTTTTGTTTATTATAAACATTTCATTGATATATATAAGTATTTTATTGAAAAAAAAATAACAGTGTGCTGACTAACATATCCTATGTTCTATAACTTTTTGGTGGAAATTGCACTTTTTTTCATCTCTAAGCCTTCCAGCGTCAGTTTATAAAATCATTAGTGAAGAAAGTTCAACATTATAGACAAGATCAGAGGGCCATTTAGCAAAATACCAATGAGATCAAGTAAATTTTAACCTCATTCAGTATATTCTATAAAGGTGTTTCCTGTTCACTTGTATTTTTACTTTCTTTGCCAAGACCTGCGTGTTGTTTTATTGTCTATTCCTTTAGATGAACAGTGAACTGCAACAACATATGGGAATATTAAATGATAAAATGTATTAATTAAATGTTCATCATGGCCTGCTGTCTATCTGCAAACCCCCTACGTGAAGCCTGAGGGTGTGGTAATTGGTGCGTGCACAGCCTACACAGGTCCTAATGAGTGAATCAGCATCTCTCACTGATCTATTACCATTGTTATAAAACGGTTGAACACCGCTCAGCCAGCCACTAACCACTTACAAAACCCACAGCTAGTGGGCAACCCGCAGGTGTTGATGAAAAGGCCAACCAGCAGGAGTAAAAGTGTGACTTATTGCACTTGGAGGCAGAATTACTTTTAAACACGCATACTCTTGTGATGAAATGCAATATAATAGCAACAAAACGCAATGGGCATTTGCCACGAGAGGGTTTTGTTATTGCCAACAGAGGCGCTACATGCCGACAGGCAAGGGAGGCAAATGCTTGGGGCATCCACGCCCCTCCGCCAAATGCAAGATAGTTTGTTTTGCAGTCGTTGTGTCCATGAGCCAGACACTTAACCCACAATGCATTCTGTTGGTGGTTGGAAGGACGGGCGGCACCAGAGCTCAGCTCACTGCAGTCAGTGTGCCCCAGTGCAGCTGTGGCTACACTGTAGCTCATCGCCATCAGTGTGCAAATGTGTGCATGCATGGACTGATTATGTTGCAAAGTGTTTTGGGGGGTTGTAGCACTTCAGAAGGCTCTATATCAAGTATAGATTTACCCTTTTTACCATTTTTCTTGAGGGTTGCATTCTGGCTTCATGGTTATAGAACCAAAAACTTCATCAGAAATTTGGCAACTGATTCAGGCAGAACATTTCACTAAAAACCAGTCGCTGATCAGCACTTAACAGGTAAAACTTTATTTTTGCACCAAACCGTGTTTTATTGTCATAAGTGAAAAAGGACATACAATTATAGGTACTAATTTAGCTTTTACAACAAAAAAACAATACAAAACAAAACAAAAAGTCAACAAAACATTTCGATAAAAGTTAGGAAGGCAAGAGTGAACAGAAAATTAATTAGAGCTAATATATATATTTTTTTTTTTGCTATATGATTGCCTTGTATTTTAAGGCTTGTTTCTGTGTCACAAACAGCAGCCATCTGTATTTGACATTTACAATGTCCTGTTTTCTTTTTATTCCAGATAACTTTGTGGTGGACCGCAATTCCTGTGTAAGAGCATGTCCCAGTAATAAGATGGAAGTGGAGGAAAACCACATTAAAATGTGCATTTCCTGTACTGACATCTGTCCAAAAGGTAAGTCAAGAAATTATAAATGAACATAAAACAACTGCAGATGCCACAATATGTCTTTAATATGTTATTTATTTAAACTAAACTTAAAATGTTGGCTATTTCAACATCTTCACTTAATATTTGATCATCCTTATTAAAATCATATAACCTTGGTTAACAGACCTACATTTTTCTGCATGATATTATAATTAATATGTGTATTGTGTAGCTTGTGATGGAATTGGTACAGAAAGCCTGCAGACAGCTCAGACTGTGGACTCCAGCAACATTGACAAGTTTATTAACTGCACCAAGATCAATGGAAACCTGGTCTTCCTTATTACTGGGATCAAGGGGTGAGGACATCAAACTTACCAGAACAAACAGACGGAAGGGAATGTCTTATTTTAATTGTGGATGCAGAGTACAGAAACCAAACTGCAGTCCTAACTTTTATCTTCATTCTGATCTTCTGTTATCACTGACAGAGATGTCTATCACAACATTGAAGCTCTGGATCCAGAAAAACTGAACGTATTCCGCACAATTCGGGAAATCACAGGTTGGTGCATGACATCCTGCTCATTATTTTCTTTTTAAACAAATGAAGAAAAGTTACTCTCAACTGAATTTCTTCTCTCATCTTCTGGAGAGACACACCTCTGATTCTTGTGTGTTTTGTGTGTGTGTGTGTGTGTGTGTGTGTGTGTGTGTGTGTGCGTGCGTGCGTGCGTGCGTGCGTGCGTGCGTGTGTGTGTTTGGTCAAGTCAACCCACTCCCTTCACTTGAAACTGTCCACACCAAGGGCAGACATCGCAGCATAAGATGAATATTATATGAGTCTTTCAATCTCCTCTTGTCTTTCTGCTGCCTCTCCCTCGGGGACTCTGTAGCCTTGAGTCCCCCTCTGTCCCAGCTCTCCCTTCACGCACCATGAAGAAAAGATCCTCAACATGTGGTGCGCATCGGTAATCATCCGGCTCCCCTATGCCACCGCCACTTTTGAGCTCTGTGTACGCTGTCATTTTCCCACCCCAGACATATGACAATGCCATCAGAACATCACAGCCTGGATCTGTGATGTCACCTTCCCGTATTAAAAGAAGAACGAACAAGAGGCTATTGAAATGTTGTTGGTGAAGTATCTCAGTTAAGACAGAGGTTTAAAAAAGTAGCTCTGAATTTAAATAAAACCACAACTTCACCATTTGCTGTCGTTCATAGAGCCAAAAATAAGGTTCAAAGAAATTTAAAATGCACATAAATGTTTGTGTGTGTGTGTGCGTGTGTGTGTGTGTGTGTGTGTGTGTGTGTGTGTGTGTGTGTTTTGAATTGAATTACAAATTGAGAGCATTTTTTCAGAAATTAAAATAGCTTGAGTTTGCAATGTTAATGTCCATATTTATTGTTTGATTATGTCCCTCACTAAAATTATTTTTTATTTAAAAACAATTTGCTTTGGGGCAGGGGCAGATTAAGGACTGAAGAAGATCCGGGGCTTAACACACACACACACACACGCACACACACGCGCGCACACACGTGACACGCACTAGTCAACATCATATATATTTGTCTTGTACCACATAATTTTTAATCTGAAGCTACATATTAAGCATTTTCAGGGCAGAGTATTGTTCCTGTTAGTGTTTAGTGTGAGATGATAGTAAATATTCCCTTTCTTTCTCCATCAACTTTACCTGATAGTAAGCTAACTTTAGGCAAACCAGCAGTACAACAAATATTTTCAAGTAAGACTCACAAACCTGAGTCAACACCAGTCTCATCAAAGCTGGGGTTCTGTTGCGGTACTTTTTGTCTAAAAAACGTCCTTATGTCCATCTTCACACATGCGTTTCAGGCAGAGTGTAGAAAAAAACCAGGCACTGCAGAAGAAGCCGGCTGCTGAAGGGCTTCTTCAGTGGTGGAGGCTCAGGCAGGCTGTATACAAACTATTGCTAGCTGAACCCTCTCTGTTGGACTTTGGTACTGCATGTTACTTCCATGTTTGAGATCCGGGGCTTTTCATTAAAGATTCGGGACTTGAGCCCAAGTTGCCGGGCCTAACGCCACCCCTGCTTTGGGGGCAAATGTTCTTGAACAGTTAAATTGGTATTAATCGAGACTAATTAATCACAAAGCCTCTAATGATTAGAGAATGATTAGTCGTCAACGTCGTCGTCTTCCTCCGCTTGTCCGGGTCACGGGGGCAGCATCCCAACTAGGGAGCTCCAGACCGTCCTCTCCCCAGCCACCTCCACCAGTTCTTCCGGCAGGACCCCAAGGCGTTCCCGGACCAGATTGGAGATGTAACCTCTCCAACGTGTCCTGGGTCGACCCGGGGGCCTCCTGCCGGCAGGACATGCCCGAAACACCTCCCCAAGGAGGTGTCCAGGACACATCCTGACCAGATGCCCAAACCACCTCAACTAACTCCATTCGATCCGGAGGAGCTGCGGTGCTACTCTGAGTCCCTCCCGAATGTCCGAGCTCCTCACCCTATCTCTAAGGCTGGGCCCGGCCACCCTACGGAGGAAACTCATTTTGGCCACTTGTATTCGTGATCTCGTTCTTTCGGTCATTACCCAAAGCTCATGCCCATAGGTGAGGATTGGGACGTAGATCGACCGGTAAATCGAGAGCCTGGCTTTCTGGCTCAGCTCCCTCTTCCCCACGACAGATCGGCTCAGCGTCCGCATCACTGTAGACGCCGAACCAATCCGCCTGTCGATCTCCCGATCCCTCCTACCCTCACTCGTGAACAAGACCCCGAGATACTTAAACTCCTCCACTTGAGGTAGGACCTCTCTCCCGACCCGGAGTAGGCAAGCCACCCTTTCCTGGTCGAGAAATATGGTCTCAGATTTGGAGGTGCTGATCCTCATCCCAGCCGCTTCACATTCGGCTGCAAACCTACCCAGCAAGAGCTGAAGGTCAGAGCTGGATGAAGCTATGAGGACCACATCATACGCAAAAAGCAGAGACGAGATTCTCCCACCACCAAACTCGACACACTCCACACCACGGCTGTGCCTAGAAATGTTGTCCGTAAAGGTTATGAACAGAACCGGTGACAAAGGGCAGCCCTGGCGGAGTCCAACTCTCACTGGGAACAGGTCCGAATAACTACTGGCTATGCGGACCAAACTCACGCTCCTCTGGTAAGGGGACTGAATGGCCCTTAACAAAAGGCCACCGATCCCATACTCCTGGAGCGTCCACCACAGCGTGCCCCTGGGGACACAGTCATAAGCCTTCTCCAAATCCGCAAAACACGTGGATTGGTTGGGCAAACTCCCATGCCCCCTCCATCACTCTTGCAAGGGTATAAAGCTGGTCCACAGTTCCACGGCCAGGACGAAAACCACATTGCTCCTCCTCAATCTGAGATTCAACTTTCGATTGGACCCTCCTCTCCAGTACCTTGGAGTAGACCTTTCCAGGGAGGCTGAGGAGTGAGATCTCCCTATAGTTGGAACACACCCTCAGGTCACCTTACTTAAAGATGGAGAACACCACCTCGGTCTGCCACTCCACAGGAACTGCCCCTGATGACCACGCAATGTGCAGAGACGCGTCAACCACGACAGCCCTACCACCTTGTAAAGGGTTTAATTTACATATTATTTTGTGAACCATAAGACATGAGATTCCATGGAAAATATGAAATCAGCGGGTACGGGGGTTGCCACCACGACTGGCACCGTCCACCTTGCTACCACAGCTAGCAACAGCCGCCTCAACAATCGCAGAGTGGAACAAGGCCCACTCGGAGTCGATGTCGCCCCACTGCTCTGGGACGCGGTCAAAGCTCTGCCGGAGGTGGGAGTTGAAGACCGTCTTAACAGGTTCTTCTGCCAGGCATTCCCAGCAGACCCTCACTATGCATTTGGATCTGCCAGGTGTACGCGGCATCTTCCCCTGCCATCTGATCCAACTCACCACCAGGTGGTGATCAGTTGACAGCTCCGCTCCTCTCTTCACTCGGGTTTCCAAAACATACGGCCGCAGGTCAGATGATACGACTACAACGTCTATCATCGACCTGCGACCTAGGCTGCCCTGGTAACAGCCATATTCGAACATGGTGTTTGTTATGGCCAAACTGTGGCTTGCACTGAAGTCCAATAATGAAACACCACTCGAGTTCAGATCAGGCGGGCCGTTCCTCCCAATCACAACCCTCCAGGTCATGCTGTCATTGCCCACGTGAGAATTGAAGTCCCCTAGCAGGACAATGGAGTCCCCTGATGGAGTACTATCTAGCACTCGTCCCAGGGACTCCCAAAAAGGGTGGGTAATCTGAACTGATATTTGGCGCATAAGCACAAACAACAGTCAGGACCTGTTCCCCGACCCGAAGGCACAGGGAAGCTACCCTCTTGTCCCCCGGGGTAAACCCCAACACACAGGCAGAGAGTCTTGGGGCTAACAAAAAGCCAACCCCAGCCCTCCACCTCTCACCCGGAGCACCTCCAGCAAAGGAGAGTGTCCAACCCCTCTCAAGGACTTGCGTTCCAGAGCCAATGCTATGTGTCGAGGTGAGTCCGACTATATCAAGCCGGTACCGCTCAACCTCTGCCACAAGCTCCGGCTCCTTCCCCACCAGCGAGGTGACGTTCCATGTCCCAATAACCAGTTTCCTTGTTCGGGGATCGGACCACCAAGGCTCCCGCCTCGGTCTGCCACCCGATCCACACTGCACCGGACCCTTCATGTTCGTCCTGCAGGTGGTGGATCCACAGTTGGATGTATCCGGTTTGGGCTGGGCCCGGCTGGGCCCCATGGGCGAAAGCCCGGCCACCAGGCACTCGCTAACGGGCCCCAACCCCAGGCCTGGCTCCAGGGTGGGACCCCGGTAACCCTCCGGGCCGGGTACTCCGACTCTTTGTTTTTACGTCCATGAAAGATATTTAAAGTTAGATAAATGAGTAAATTATATATATATATATATATATATATATATATATATAAGTTGACCCTAAAGTAGCATTTTGAAGAAGTTTCTAATTGATATTTTTACTACTACTTGAAGCACATTTCCACAGAATAATCAGAAATGTATGAAACAAGTGTGAAGCATCAATCATAGTTTGCATGAGTTTCCAGTTATTTTTAAGTATATATATATATATATATATATATATATATATATATATATATATATATATCACGTGTTTTTCCTGAAATAATTTGATGTTCTGTTATTGTTAGTAAGGGCAGCTTTAGCGCAGTTGATGGGCCAGAAACCTGTGGCCATGTAGTCAGATGTGTGTGTGTGTGTCAGCTTGGCTTGTCCTCTCCCTGAGCTGTCAGGAGAATGTGACGTCTGACTGAAGCAGTCAACCTGCCTCTCTGACCCCGAGGTCACAACTAACATTGCTTTAGCTTTCAAATGAGCAGCAGATGAGGACAGCTACATTGTCCACACCAGCACTCCTATTTTTTCCTGCCGTCAGTTTTCCTTAGCTCCTCATTCCATTGGCTTCTCAAACCCATTCAACGGGTCAAGTTTCTTTTTAAAATGGAGTGGGCAATCAACACATCTGATTTAAGTGGGTT